TTCACAAAATAAGCACTTAATTATTTTTAAGCTTTTGGGTGTGAAGTTTTAAAATGTATTTATAGCAATAGTTACATCAGGAGCTGGAGAGTCGCCCTGCAGTTAAAAGCACTTATTATTATCAAAGAGAATCTGAGTTTGGTTTCCAGCACCCACAGTCATCCACAACTCAAGTTTCCTCCACAGGCATCAAGGCACACACATGATACATCAACATACATGTAGGCAAAACACCCCTACACGTAAAAGTTGTAAGATTTTTAAATTCAATTTTGCAGTCACTTCTAAACCTGTCCCACTCCAGAGGCTGAGGGCCACCCACCCGCCACCTGCTCCACAGACTGCTACTGCTCAACCTGGGGCATCAGAAATCTGTTAGTGGAACTTGTCTGTGACTCTTGTCAGTAGCTTTCTTGAGAATCAAGAAGGCTATATATAATTCAGCTACATGTGTTCTTAGATCGCAAATAAGCTAAAGTTCTGTAAATCCGCTAACTGTGCTCAAAAATTCTTTGGGGTTTGAAAAAGGAATGGGTAAATGTTGGAGGAGAATCCTCACATTTGAGAAACCAAGGAAAGGAAATCAGGAGTCCAAGGGGAACTTGGGCTACATAGTGAGCTCCAAGCCAGGCTCAGCTACAGGGTGACATCCCCCAACGAAGTTTCTGAGGAGCTGATTGGCCCACAGATCATTCCCTGTAACTGTGGTGCTGTGCTTATAGATTCAGACATATTAAAAGTTACGGGGACAGGGCTGGAGAGATGGCTCGGGATGAGAGCACTGGCTGCTCTTCCAGAGGACCTGGATCTGATTCCCTGCACCCACATGGCAGCTCACAACTGTAACTCCAGTTCCAGAGCAATTCAGCACCCTCTTACCTCCTCAAGCACCAGATATACGACTAGTGCATAGACACACACGTGAGCAAACACCCATACACATAAAATGCTGAAAATAATTGTTAAAAATTACAGGAGGGGCTGGAGATACAGCTCAGCTGGTAGAGTGTCTGCCCTGCATTTCTGAAGCACTGGGTTCCAGCTCCAGCACTGCATAAAGCCAGGCCTTGTGGCACAAGCCTGTAATCTAACACTCAGGATGGAAGCTGGAAGACTATAAACTCAGGGTCATCATCAACTACATAGAGAGCTCGAGGTCAGCCTGGGCTTCATGAAACTGTCTACATATACATGCATGTGTGCATGCATACATACATGAATACATACATACATACAGGCTGCATGAGACTGTCTCTACATACATATATACATACATACATACATACATACATACATACATACAACTCAACAGTTAAAGGGATAGGTAGGGATGTAGGTTGGGAGAGTGGCTGCCTGTCATGTGCAAGGTCCTGAAGTTGATCTCCAGCACTGAAAAGCAAGGAAGAAAAGGAGCGGGGGGTGGTGGGGGGCAGGAAGAAGGCAGGGGAGGGCAGGGAGGAGAGTAAAGGGGAAAGGACTTAACCATTTCTAGTCTGTTAGCATGTTGTATTAAGTTTCCATTTTCCAAGTTCATAATAAATCTTCACAGTAAACCAGGGAGATAGGTTAGCAGGTAAAGCTGAGAATCTGAGTTTGGATACCTACTATCCACATAAAGTTTGAGCATAGAGGGGTGTAGATGGCTCAGTGCTTAAGAGCCCTTACTGTTCTTGCAGAGAACTCAACGTTGGTTCTCATCACCCACAAGGAGACTCATGACTGCCTGAAGTTCCATTTCCACGGTATCTGAGGCCCTTCCCCAGCCGACATGGGCTCCTGATCTGTGTAGTACACACAAACTCACACAGGTATATACACATGTTAATATTTTTTAATATTTTTCAAAAATTGGTATAGAGTGCATAACTGTAATTCCAGCTCTTGATGGACACAGGATGAACCCAAGAGCCCACTGGTCAGCTAGTCAGCCAGCTGGCGAGCTCAATGTTTTTAGAGAGACTTTGACTCAAAAAATAAGGTGGTACCATGTGTGTAGGACAACCCTTTGATCCCAACTCTCAAGAGGCAAAGGCAGATGGATCTCTGTGAGTTCATGGCCAGTCTGATCAACATAGGACCTTTCAGGCCAGGGGTAGATGGTGAGACTTTGTCTCTGAAAGAGAGAGAGAAATAGAGAGAGAGAAAGGGGGGGGAAGAAGGAAAATAAAGAGCAGTAGTAGAAGACACAGGTGGTGGATAGATAGCTCAGCGGTTAAGAGCACTGACTGCTCTTCCAGAGGTCCTGAGTTCAATTCCTAGTCACCACATGGTGACTCACAACCATCTGTAATGGGATCTGATGTCCTCTTCTGGTGTGTCTGAAGACAGCTACAGTGTACTCACAAATATAAAACAAGCCGGGCGGTGA